ATAAAAAAAAAATTGAGTCACGTTTTAGTTCCAAAGCAGAAGATATTCCGATAAATTTCTTTGCACCTTATAAGTTTAGCATTAAGTAAGAAAACCTCCTTTCTATAAAAAATAAAATAAAATACTTAGAACCACAGTAAAAGATCACTTTTGATTGCTTAAATACCTTAATCAGAAGGTTGCATTGCCGATTTTGATTTATCTTTAAAGAAAACTTAGAAATAGCTTGGAAATATGGAGTAAAAAATCACGTTATCACTTTGCGCACATAAAAAGGAAAAGGCGACGACTTTAAGAGCATATTGCAAGAAAACGGTAAATTTTTGTGCAAATATTTGATTGAATCTACTTCCATTTGGTACTAAAAACTTCTTTGTACTTTGAAATTAATTTATTGAATTAATTTCCAATATCGATATCAATTACCCCACTGTGGGGCATAGTCAATACCTATTCGTTCTTGTGAATAAAATAATTTAAATTTTAATAATTTCCACAGCATCTCCTCTCTCATTTGGTACCCATATTGTTATTCTACATTGCACTGATTTTTTTGATTAAAATTTTTGGATGTAATCATATGTTTGAAACGGCAAAGTCCTTTTAAACAAATGCTGACGTCAGAGAGAAAAACTAAGCTTGGCCCATAGTTTCGTAAGTATATTGATTGCTTCTTGTGTTTCGATTTTTTTTTAGATTTTGTCGGACGGTGTAATCATTCACTTCATTTGGTTAAGGTACACGGAGATCATGTATGTAAATAACCCAGCTATCACGTTTTTTTTTTGGAACAACGCTGAGTCTCTTCACTCTTTTCCCTCCTCTATCCACAGACGAGACATTTTCAAAAAAATTTCAATTTCAGTAATAACCCCAAAACTGGTTTTGGTAAGAAAGATGCAAATATTTTTCGCCCTAATATATATGCACGTACATGTAAAATGCATAAAAGAACACAAATACAAAATCTGGTCTTCCATCACTGCCCGCCTCCGCTTCCTATCAAGAAACATACTGTCTATCATAACAGTAACTGCTCATTATGTAATATGACGAAAACAATGAGCGTTCTAATGATAATAAACAGCAACTGATTAAGAGTGCGATAAAATCAAATAGGACTCACCTCCACCTCTGCCACCACCACTCACGCTTTGATTTACAGCGCTCGCCCTCACGTCCTCGAATTTATATTTACGTACATATGTAGCAATGCCAACGTCGAAAAGAAAGCGAAATTGAATTCAAATTAGACGCTATTGTTGCTTTTGTATTCACTTGTACGCATACGGCTTTGTCGGATTTGTCAAAGGTTCTACTGTTTTCTGTATATTGTTCACATTTTCTTTTTTTGTTTGCTGTCGCACATAATCATCATAAGAATGCTGTGGCACGGGCCATCTTGTCAGGTTGGGTCGAGCTTCTATTCAAATTTGTTGTAAGAGCTTTATGTACTTGTTTCCACTATTGTGCGATCTAAAGTTCTATGCTGCTTTTGTAAGTAGGAAGATGAGATTACCCGCCGATAGGCGATATACCATTAGGGATGCCAGGCGTACTTATTGGACGGATCTTATAAACTTCGTACTAATTTGCACTGAAATTTATAAACAAATATTTGGCGCTAACAGAATTGATCACACAAATCGTGGGCAAGGATGCCAATTTTCTTTTGGATACCAAAAAGTGTAACCAAATATAAAATATACACCTGCATATTTCAGTTATAAATTTAATGATTCAAACATTTTACAAACACACATTGGTGATATCAAAAATTCATAGAATAGAAGGTTACGACATGGTTCTGTCAAAAATTGTTTTTCTCCAATGACGTGTGTAGTTGCGAAGGGTGGGGTGCAATAACACCATAAGCAATAAGGCCATATGGTATTATTTCCATTTTGTTTTGGACATAAAACCATATGTCGTTATTTCCAATCTAGGAGTGAAATAAAGCCATATTAAAAATTGTACAAATGAGTAATAAAGTCATAATAGAAATTACAACCGCTTAAACTAAAAATGCATGTCTGGTCCAGTGTGATCACACATTTTTTCTATTAGTTGACCGTGGGCATGTTTCTTTATTATTCAGTCTGGATCTAGAAGAGAATAGTCGTGTAGTTTATCATGAACAATTGTTATAAACAAAAGAGAATGAAATTATTAGGTATCAGCGTACTAATATTTAATTAAATTTTGTTGCAAAACAACTTCCAAAAACTCGGTTTCTCTAGCGCCATTATTTTCATGCAATATTCTACGAATTCCGTACTAGAGACGAAAGGAAAATAATGCGTTCAGATTATCCGGCACTATATTATCCGGTACAACATTCTAATGAATAAGTGAACAGAAAAATGCATATTCATATTCGGAATGTGAATAAAGAAACTCTCGCCGTGTATTAACATTGTTACGGTAATTTTCCAGTTTATGAACACTTGGGGAAAACATTGGTAATGATCAAATTATTTCGTCGAAAGGGGTATAAAATAGACGCTTTTTAAAACCCCATTATTACGAACTTAATTATTAACGTTTTTTTTATTATTTCAAAAGTTATCTGTAGAAAATACATTCCCAACATTATTTATGATGTTAACTCCAGGCGGCACCTTTAAATCATAAAAACTGACAACCTTTCTTAAAAATTATTTTTTATATTGTGTATCAATAATTAAAAAATAACGATTTAAGATTTTAACATTCGGGTATGCCATATGAGCGATTCCTATATCTAACTTTTTTTAGACCGATTTGGCTGCTATTAATAGTATATATTGGTTATGTAAGCAGAACCATTTTTGCAAAAAATAGTCTCGATAGGTGGCGCCAGGGTCAAGATACTTTGAAAAACCGTATTTATGCACTGATTTGCTTCACATTTGGCATGTTTAGTTGAAACGTAATAAGTAGGGAAGACAAAAATATGCAAATGCATATTATGACACAAAATACATATTTTGGCGAAAAAGCATAAAAATGCATACAAATGATTATTTTGGTAATAAGTTACTTACTTTTCGCATAATTTCATCTGACAGTAGCTTTGCGGATATAGCCATGGTTGCTGACTAGGTTTGTTTAATTGACAAAAAGAAAAGGCTGACAAACAATGGAAAGTCCCGTTATTTTCTGGTAAACAATTTTAATATACCTACTCGTGAAAATTTTTCGACTGTCATTTACCAACAGTGAATTTTCGCTCTAAACCGGTTTTTATGGTTGAAAAATTCAATGAAAATGTTTCGTTTTTAGCGAAAGCTGTTTAAAAGTTTCCAGATGTGCTGCGAACTGAGCAGAGAGTTGTATTGTAACTTCTCAATATCAGCAACAAAAATATTTTTAAATTCTGTCCAACAATGTTTTGTGACGTAGAGCATTCATTTTTATGTTTATGTTTATTAAGTGAATGAAAATACACATCCTTACAGACTAATAATATTTAAATTTTATATCCTATATAAAAAATAAAAATAAAATTAAATATAACAGTAAAAATTTATGTATTTAATCGCATATGCGATACAAAACTTCTTTCAGCCGTTGTCTTGGTAATGTAATATCCACCAATTAAATTCTAGGAGAAATCGCGTTATAGGCTCATTCATGCCATAATTAGTTCGATGCTTATTAACAAAAAATAATTCCTTCTGTCGCAGTTGTTTTACAGGAACATTTAAAGTAATTCTAGCAGGTGATATGAGTTTATTTTACCACTTATAATGTCGGCTATAAAAATTAGCGAGGAGACTTTACGTCTACATTCCAGAGAGCTCAAGTCAATTAAAAGACAGCGGGAGTTATATGATGGCACTGGTTCAGAGAAGTGCAGAGAGTGCAAGGCAAATCTTATAAACCTTTTTTGTATTCTCTCTAAACGAGAAATTAAAGAAACCTGAAAAGGACTCCATATTAGAGAAGCATATTCTAGTCAAGACCAAAGTTGTGTAAAGTAATTTCAACGTATATGGGTCTACGAAGTCCTTACTATTGCGTTTTAAATAGGCTAAAAGTGATTACGCCCTAGGTATGATGTAATTTAAGTGCGCTTTAAAAGTAAAACGTGCATCAAATACGACCCCTAAGTCAAGAGCTTCAGTTTTAGTGGATAACACTCCAATTCCAAGGCTGAATGATGAAGGTAAGGGGATTTACTTCGCACCAATTAAAAAGTTTAATTAGATCATCCTGTAAACAACTAGTATCAACAGAGTCACGAATTCTTAGAAACACCTTTAGATCGTCGGCACATGAAACAAATTTAGCATGCGAAAAGCATTGAGAAATATCGTTTATGAACAAAAAAAAAACATGAGAGGCCCAATAATGCTTCCATGTGCAACACCAGAAAATACTACATAGGGATAAGATCTAGCGCCATTAACAGATACAATGGAAGATCTATTCCTAAGATAGGATCTAAGCTACTGAAGAAAGGTTGAATGAAATCCAATTTTCGACAGCTTTGCAATTAAAATGCTATGAGAAACTTTATCAAATGCCTTTGAAAAACCTGTATAGGAGCCATTCTTTTTTAAGTCGGACGGATTTCGTAAACAAATTATGTCATGTCTCCGAAAAAAACCGTCTCGTCATAAAAAAAAAATTTAAATAGTTCTTGAAAAACCCACAATTTTTTTAAACATGTTTTTTTTATAGAGAATTAAACAAGGAATACGATGATATAATTTTAAATCCCTTATTTACTGGTCTTCACTATGCAAATCATCTTCAAAAGGTTCAATTGTTAATAGCTAAGTTAGCTTTGGGACAATCTTGACCATTTTATATATAGAAATGTTAAGCCCGTTTCTTTAGCTTTAAAAAGACGTTAACATAAAGTCTCTACGATTCGCAGAACCCGTGATATAACGATTTGAAGTAGTACATGATCAGTCGGAATCACGAAAAAATGCAAACTTATCATATCTCCGAAGAAAAAAATTAAAAAAATTCCTCGAACACGTGTTAGCTTATTTCATGTGTAGAAGCCAAAAAAAAAATTTTAAGCAAATTGAAAGTGTGACACATAATTTGGTGTCCGATATGAAAAATAATGTCTCATAGATGGTATCCACTTGTAAACCCTGCTCAAATGCGTAGACACAATATTGAGAAAACACGACTAAGTTAGTCATCGTAGAACGACCAGCAACAAAACCATGTTGGTGAGGACTAACTACAGACTTCACTGCAAAATTAAGTTTATCAATTACTACAGATTTAAATAACTTCGAAATTGTAGAAAATTTAGAGATAGGTCAATAATTTAAAATGTCGTTTTTATTACTATAATTTATTAATAAAATCACCGGTCCTCAACGATTTATTAAAAATTATTGTAATAGGCGAAGACAGTGATTCTGAAAATGTTTTTATTAGTAACGGAGATATGCCATCGTTGTCCAATTTTGTTGACATTTTGAGCAATTTTATACAGTTTACTAGTGAATCCGCATGGCGTTAAAACGCCCAGAATTGAATTTCAAAAATCTAAAAAAATATTACAAATGTTAATCAGAGTTATAAGCGATCCGAGTGCCATATTTCATCTAAATTCCGGGCAGCCATTTCTGAGTTAAGAGAGGTCTCGCATAGTTTCGGTTTTTAATATCTCCAAAATTTAAAGTGAAACCCGCTTGAAGTCGCCCAAAACGCATAAGTGGTTGTCATCAACGGAGCTCTGCGCAAGAGTAGTTATATTGTCCATCTGTGCATAATATAATTCGTCAGAACTGAGTGGTGGAATATATGATGACCAGATGAAAAGCAAGCCCGCATCACTTCAAACAGTGATACATAGTTGATCCAGAAGTGTGTCCCCATTTTGGAGAGCAATAAGTTCGGAGCGTAGTGTATGTCTGACAGCACTATGAACCCCACCACCTCTAGCGTTTCCTGTTTTGATTGGATCCTCTGTCTTTCCGGTATAAATTATAAAGATTCAAGTCACATACTTCGGCGTCGAAAATGTCAGCATTTAGCCAAGTCTCGACAAGTACAAACATATCGTAATCACCTTAAGACATGAGCAGAGTAAAAGCCTGATTATGGCAAATTAACTTAACTTAACGGAACGTAGAACTTAGAGAATCAAAATGAAACAGATTTCGCCGTGGCATTAAGTTACGTTAAGTTTCGGCGGTTCAATTATAAGCAACACCCATTTAACAGAATTTTTAAGAGAGAGCCGTAAGTTACGTTAAGTTGCCATAATTAGACCATAACAGCCTTTAGCTTGGCTCTCATACCAGAGACGTTTTGGTTATAAATTTTTAGAGCGGATTTACCCTCACCCTTTTCATGTTAGCTAGATGGCCTCTTCCGGCCTCTTTTTGAAAAAAACTGGAATCGGCGCACTTTCACATCCGCCGGCCAAAGGAATGGATTTAAGAGGTCATCATAGAGCGAAGCAGAAACACCAACTTTAAAATTAACTATTTTTAACTTTGATAGATCAGCATCAATTTTAACTAGCTTGAATTCCTGGTCACATACGATATGATGTCATCTGTAGATACTGTTGGCTTGAATGATGAAATGGATCCATTTCTTTATAGCAATAACATCAAGATCCGAATTTTTATTTAGGCCAACTACTACATTGCGAGAAAAATTTTTGGTCTTTTTGTTTTTTACTATTTCCCACTGTGCATCCGAACGAGTATTGGAGACACGATCAGATGGCGTAGAAGCGAAAGTGGATGGCATAGGCGCATTAGGAGCAGCATTAACAAAGCCTTACGGAGCAATGTCGTGGAGGATAGCAGGAGTCACGCGGAGGTGCAGCATGTGAAGCATTTGTAAAAGACGATCCAAGCGCAGAAAGGAACAGCCGATAGAGGTGCACTAATTCGTCTCCGGCTGGTTAACCCAAGCACGGCAAACACTGCTAGCGGCACACCAACAGCGTACCCGAACCACTCATCAGCCACTTCGCTCGCCAACTATTTACAATCGGGACAGCGCACACGACGAATTCTCAAACTGAGCACGCAACAACAGGTGTAAAAAGCTGAACAAGTGCGCAGTCAGGTCAGTCGTGCTAGGTAAGCAGTTGGCGCCTGGAGGTGTGTCCTTCGGAAGCACGAATTCCTCTTCGGCTTTTCGATTGGAAACCACCGCCGCCCCGTTCCAGCCCCTACTCATGTAGCGTGCGAGTACGGGAACGGCGGTGTCTTAAGTCTAGTCAGTCTTGCGAGGTCGCTCAACTGCCGTCGAGAAGCGCTCGCAGAGCGTCCGCCGCTACCGAGGGCCATCAAAAGCTGCTGAAAGCCATTCGCCGCCGCCGAGAATCATCTGCTGCGCCGCTACTGCTACTCCTCAGGTAGTGAGAGCTGCTTTTTAGAGCCATTCACCGTCGCTGAGATTCATCTGCTGCGCCGCTACTGCTACTCCGCAGCTATTCAGAGCCATTCGCCACCGCTGAGAGTCGCTTCACCATTCTGCTATGCACATACCGCTGCTCACCAGGCCACCTGACGTTAGTGAGAGGCACCTGACGTTAGTGAGAGTCACTCGCCGTGCTGCCAGTGCCCTCACCGTTGCTCAACCGTTGCTGAGAGTCACCCACCACTCTGCTAGCGCACTCTCTGTTGATCACAAGTCAAGAGCCCCCCGTCGTGCTTCCAGCACTTTTACCGTTACTCACCATTTGACCCGTCATACACTCCGACCCGACCTCTCGACAACAAACGAACGCCATCCGTCTCCCGCTCTCTCTCTCCCCCTCACTTTGGATATAAGGTTGCCGGCACTCTAATCATAGCGCCGTGTGTGTGTTTTATTTGGTGGAGGTTAGTGGGAACTTCACCGGACTCTGGATCGGCTGAGCTCACCTCAGCCTTCGACAAAACCCACCTCTTAAATGGCCCGATCTTTGTAATTTTCACTCTAAGTTTTCTGTTGATAATGGATGGAAGTATTGCAAAATTTCATGTTCCGACAAATGATTAATACATTATAAAAATGCTCCCACCTGCCAAATTTCGTCCGGATATCTCGAAAACTGAGAGACCAGATTGCATACAAACAGACGGACAGACGGCCATGGCTAAATCGACTCAGCTCGACGTTCTGATCATTTAAGTATACATTTTAATGGGTCTATCTCTTCTTATTCTGGTACTTACAAACATCAGACCAAAGTTATAATACCATTTCATGCTCATGAAAGGTATAAAAATAGAACTTTTGCAACGATTTGTACGAATAAAAAAGATTTTCCGTCAGTTTCCAAGGCAGGTAAAAAATGCGTATAATTTTCGTAACGAATTTGATTTAAAAAATTTTGTGTTTTTTGTTGTGTTCAGCGTTCGTCACTCGAAAATTTTACCTCAAACAGGTGTTTTATTTGATATACTAGACTGTAATAAATGAAATGCATTAATATCGTATCAGAAAAAGTACTTTCAAATAACAAGTTTCAAAATAAATGACAAAATAGATTTTTGAATATATAAATAAAGTCAAAGGGCATCCCCTCAAGAAAAAGGACTGTCCTTTACAATAAAGACGAATGGTCACCGTAGCTATAGATGGACAATACGGTTTTACTTTTTCGAAAAGAGTTGGCACCTTTATAAAAAATTAAATTTGAATTGTTTAAAAAATTAAGTAAACATTTTTATTTCCTAACAGAATATACGAGGGTTGCCAGGTGTTTAAAAACCAAACTCAATTTTAATTAAGGAATTAGCGTGCCAGACGAAAGAGGTTTAAGAAGGTAGTAACTTGAAAGTATTCTTATGTGGGTTGCCACTTGGTTGAAAAGTCGAATAAAGTTAATTTATACACAAATTCTATGAAATATTAAAATATAGTTGTAGTATGACAGAGTTTTAAGAAATCATTTAATTGAACGTTTAGAATGTTTCTGAGGTGGCCGTTTGATTTTCGAAAATGATGTGTCAACTTGAGGGGCTTTTCCTGTAGGTCGGAGAGAGAAGCTCGGCCAAACACTAACATATGTGTAAGCCCCAATCTATTATTATTATAGTAACAAAAGCAACGGAGTTGCATACATACCACTTTTCAAAAAGCCCTACCTGTATTTCATACTCATTTTTTGATGTTTTTTGCTTCTCCTGTAAAATAAAAAATTTATTGGTTATGGCCTTTATGAATTAATGATACGCGAAGGGATTTTTTGTCCAGGTCCTCAGATCTGCACCGCTCGTTCGATTTGCAAAAAAGACGTGTCAAATTAAAGGACTTGGGCTGTAGATGTGCAATAAAGTTTTACTTGTTCGAAAAGAGTTGCCAGCTGTTAAAAAATTAAACTAAAGTTATTTAATAATCAGTGCCCTCAGATCCGCACCATTCGTTCGATTTTCAAAAGTGAGGTGTCAAATTAAAGGGCCTAGGGTGTGGATATTCAACAAGGTTTTACTGTTTAAAAAAGAGTTGCGAACTGTTAAGAAATTAAGCTCAAATTATTTAAAAAAATTTTACAATATGGGTATAAAACGAAATGGTTTTGAAAAGGCTTTATATCTGAACTACGTGTAGGAGGGTTGCCACATGTTTAAAAAATGTAATTCAATTTTAATTAACGCAATTTGGTTAGTGAATAAGTTATTATTATATGGGTATCCGTAGGTAGTAGTTTGAAAATATTTTTAATAAGGTTGCCACTTATTTGAGAAGTCGAATTAAATTATTTTATACCCAAGTTATATGGAATATTAAAAATTAATATCAAATGAAAGAGATTTAAGAAATATTTAGTTTGACAAATTAGAATATTTTTGATGTGTTTAAAGCGGGTTGACGCCTGTTTTTAAAGTCGTATTTAGTTTAAATATACAAAAGTTACATGCATTTTTAAAATATGGGTATCAAACGAACGAGTGTTAAGAAATTTTTAAATTGAACATTTAGAATTTTTACGGGTGCAAAAAGAGGGCTGACACCTGTTGAAAACATTCAATTTAAATTATTTAATAAGTTAAATGGATTTTCAAAAGATGGGTATCAATCGAAATGGATTTGAAAATAATTTAT